TCAGACGCAGATAATGTGTTTCATTTCCTAAATGAAATGGTTGTGCTTCCTGCGTACAAGTAATAAATTGACGAATGTAGAAAAAACAGTTAACTTGTGTACCTTTGTGACAGATAAAGTTCCTTGAACAGTTACTTGAAAACTGTATTTTTACTTTCGTTTTAAAATTAATTTTAAAAAATACGGGATGGCGGTCGAATATAAAATAAACAAGTTGCTGTCCTTTAAAAAAGGACTGCAATACGTGGACCATATGCATGTGTTTCGAAACGAAATTCAAAGAAAATTTCTAGATTTAGTGAGTTTACAAAGGTGTAATTAAGTTTAATCTTTTTTTTCCTAATTTTCATCTTTATTTAAGTCTGTTTAATTAGGCTGTAATGATTAGAAAAATCATGACCTTGAAATGATGTGAATATGAAATGTTGATCTAGGTATCTATCACAATTGTAATTTAGCTTTTAAAATTAACAACAGAATTAAAAGAGGCTTAAGCGTGCAGGTATCATAATCTCCATTGGCGTATAAAGGGAGGGGGGGGGGTCGGGTGTTGGAACCTCCTTTATTTTTGCAGAAAGAGGAAGAGAGAGAGAATGTTTATTCTGTAATACATATTTTTTTTACATCTAGTATTTTCAATAAAATATGAAGTACTTCAATCTCTGCCCTTCCTGCTCTCTAGATAGAGTTTTGCTTATTGCTTCCTCCGTGTACCTTCACAATACCGGTCCCGGGCCTCGACCACCCACATGTAACTTGAAATATTTCACTTTGATATCATCGGAAGATTCCAGCGAACGAACGTACGGCTATGCCATTTTTTGACCATCTTCTAAAGTAACTAACTTTAAGAAGTATGCATAAAAAGTCATGAAAGGGAGTATCCGTAAGAGAATATTATCCTTTACAAAAATTTTGATATTTCTTATGCAAAATTTGTACATGACAATTAATTGTCATGTACAAATTTTGCCTAGGAAATATCAAAATTTTTGTAAAGGACAATATTTATCTCCTTATACTATAGGAATATTTTAACCATTGAAGAGAAAGGTTCAAAATGTCCCGTAGTATGTGGGGGAGGGGGGCTCACTTTTTCTTTAAAAAATCTTTTGTTAGAATTTGAATATATAAGTTTTAATTTGCATTGGAAGCTCGCCCGCACTTTTTGTTGCGGAAAGGTTCAAAATACAGAAAATCAAACATTTAAGAGAAATCAAAATGTACCCGAAAAGTTAGACGAAGTCCCCCACCCCCCACCCCCCCCCCACCCCCCCAAATAGGATTTTAGAGGGTGGTGCACATGTTGTTATTTTTTTTATTTATTTCTGCTTGTCAACTCTTTTTGGAGGTTGTACCCTTTGAAAACCGTTGCTACGGGCTTGAATGTAAGTGCCTGTGGTGTGACTTAGACCCCCCCCCCCCCTTTACTAAAGCGTCTCGAGTTATCTTAAACAATGCTAAGTTATCGATTAACTCGATCAATTTAAAAACACAAAAAAGAGATTAATTTTGTGTGTGTGTGTTTCTTCGTCTGTCTCATTTAAATAACGGAATGGTTAATATACAACACCTGCAATCGTAACTTCTCGGCAGAAGGTCTGAGAATCTTATCGCACGTGTGTAGACCTAGGCTATTTGGTCTTGCAAGCACAGGTATGTGTATTGTTTGCTAGTGACGCTTAGACTGGTGACGGTATTTGCTACAAACATGAAGAACTATACACCAGTTTCATAACATGTACAGTTTTTTTTTCTAGTGAAAATTGGAGTAAATTAAAAGTCGAATATTTTGGATACGGGGTAACCCAAATCTATTCTTGTTACAACGACCGTCAATGCATCCATGGGCGAGTTCATTGGTTACTCTGAAAGGTGGCACAGGTTTACCTTTCGTTAACATTTTCTACAATGATCTGCTTACTTTGAGTGATTGTACTTTCATAGCAAAGTTGTTAAATTTTATTCCCGATTGGCCTATAAGTTTTGTCATTTAACTGAAAAAAATCGGGCTATTTCGATACATGTAATGCTTAACGGCTGGGACTTGAGATCTGTACTAGATTTATACGGAAGTATCCTATCATTGGAAAGATAGATGGTACACGTGTAGCACAGATCTGTAGTACGCAGATTTTTTTTTTTTGGATGTTTCTCCCTCTCCCCGTCATGGAAAAACATTGCTACAGGCCTTTATCAAACTATATTTGGATTGCTGTCTATCAAATTATTTTGCAAACCTTGATGCACAAAACTAATGCCGGTAAACATGGCAAAGACTATCTTTTAAAACCTAGTGTTTTAATTCAACATGTTCAAGCTGTTAAGCTATCTCTATAAGTTCTTCCTACTTATTTAAAATGCTTGTACCATAGAATTTAGTTTGTATATAAGGATATATGTGTTAAAGAGAAATTCAGATCTTGGTTACGCCAAAGAATACATAAATACGATGTGCAGATTTTAGAGCGAGGTTTGCCAATGATTGGCATTTTCTAATTCGAAGAGGGCGAATTGTTCTACGGGCAAGTTGTCTTAGGGGCGAACTCTCTAGCATCCTCGCGCATGCGTAGCCTGACGTAAGCCCATGGCATCCGGTTTAACTCCGCTAATATATTTTCTGCGTGGACCTCAGGGTCCACGCAATGATTTGAAGTATGAAGAATATCTTTAAAAATTAACACTGATAAAAAATAAAATCAAAGCATATGAACTTATTTGTGATCATCGACTGTGCTACTTATACTTAGTAATACAAAACTTGTTTAAACGTCGGTACATATGTACTTCTTTTTTCAATACATATCCATTTTACGTACTAACGATAAGTTAGAAAAACTGCAACTTTAAGCTTCTAGAATTGTAACAGGGTTAACAACTATAGCTTCTAAAGATTCACTATACTTTGAAACGGGATGGGAACCTCTTAGTTGTAGAAGACAAGAAGCTAGAATAAAAACTATGTTCAAGCTTCATAATAATTTAGTGCCTGAATACCTAATGGACATACTTCCAGATATGCGCTGTAACACATCTATCTACTCTACAAGAAATTCTCAAAATTATGATATTCCAAAATGTCGATTACAAACTTATGAGTCTACATTTATTCCGACAGTAGTTAATGAATGGAACTCAATTCCACTTGAAATTCGAAATTTACAGTCAATGTCAAAATTCAAATCTTAAATTAATACTAAAAAATCTGCTCCACCATCATACTTTGATTACGGTAACAGACGACTAAATGTTCTTCAAACCAGACTACGGCATAATTGAATAGTGACCTTTATAGATGGAATCTAATATCAAGTCCTTTATGCTCGTGTGGTAAAGTTGAGGATACATATAATTATTTTTTTGTATGTCCAACGTATGAGAAATCCAGAAAAGAATTTTAAATATTTTTTTATAATTTGACAAGATCCACATTCTAGATACACATGTCTTATTATGAGGGGTAGATTCATTGAATGCTGCAGAAAATGAACGTCTCTTTTCTTTTGTTCAAACATTTATTAAAAATTCTGGTAGATTTCCTTGTTAGCATTAATTAATGTATCAGTATATGCACTTGTACAACATTAAGTGTATCTATATACTAGCGAAATGCATCGATTTGTAAACCTTTGCAAATATTGTATATTTTAAAACTTCATGTTTAACTGTGACGATTTGTGTAAATTTACTTGTAGGGAGAGGGCGTAATAAGTTTTCAGAACTTGTGCCAAATCCCATTGTATTTATAAATTACAATGAAATACATGTATGTTCAAACCAAACCACTACGTACTAGCGAATGATTGGGGAAAAAAATAGAACAAAAGCTAATATTAACCACTCAAATTAACAAAAAATATATAAACCGTTTACTTTCAACGCCACTTTTACTATTACGTATTGATGATGTGTCAAATATATATATGTAGTGAACATAAAACTTCATTTGTTGGCTTTAATCAAAAGCTTTAGTTACAGTTTTAAAATTAAGATGATATTAAACGAATAATAAGGAGGAAGATATTTAACGGACAAAATAAAGTATAAAAATCCAGAGTATTGATAAAAATTACTGATATCAAATTTTGTTTAAATTTAATTAAGCACAAAACGAATGCGTTAATCACTAAGTAAAAATAAAGTATAAAAATCCAGAGTATTGGTAGAAATTACGAATTTCAAATTTTGTTTAAATTTAATTAAGCACAAAATGAATGCATTAATCACTAAGTAAAAAGTAAACAGAGTGTATATATATATATATATATATATATATATATATATAGCATGGCTTCGTTAATTTGGTTGGTGTCCAGATCACACACAGCTTAGAAAAGAGCACGGTAACAGATTGGCCTATTAGATGTAAATAAGCTTTAACTTAGTACATGTATGTGCCATTCCTGTTAAAACACAAAACTGTTTATAGTTAGAAACTCATCACCTTATCAACAACAGGATATACATATTTGTTTTTGTTGATCACTGTAAATAACTTTGAGATTCTATTCTTCCAACTGAATAATTGTCGGGTACATTTTCGGCATCAATTAGACTGCACGAGACAAAAATTTCATGTTTGTATCGAATTAACGTCTTGTAAATTTTGTCGTATGATTTTCCTGAGAAGAAAAACTATAAATAAATTTACATATTGTTGTGGATAGATGGTTCACTGGATACACTTTTCCCCTTTTATACATTTATGATGAAAATTTCTTCCAAAGATATTAATAGTCCTACAAGTCAATTGAAATATGTTAAAACACTATATAACTGTTTCAAGATAGTAACTGTTTCTACTGATATTAGTGGGTCAAAAGTTTTCATACATTCCAGTGCTGTATGGTGGCTTCAGACTGTACACGTCATTCATAAATTGATTTTGTTGTAACACGTAGATACTGTCGTACGTATAAACACCAAGGCTACAGCCGGTAAATACATTGGAAAAAAATAATTTTTACAATATAAATTCTAAAGAGTTTTTGGTTTTGTTTTGTTTTCAAAGTAGGAAACGTAAGGTAATTCACCAGAAAATCATATACAGAGTCACTGTATTCTTTTTTCTTCAAATTTATCAGCTGGACTTGTTCTTCTGTTTGAGAGATTTCATACTGGTCCTCTAAGTAATCATCTGCATAAATAAGAGTCTGTCTTAGCGCTGTCAGAACTAGGATATTAATAGGAGTGTACAGTTGAGTCTCCTTTTCGTAATTCTTTACCGGAAACACGTGACCCCTTGGAAGGCCAATGAGTTCCGCAGTTTTCTCGAGTGCTTTTTTGCAGGCCTCGCTATAGAAGAGCATACGTACATCTTTATCAGCCAGAGGACAGATTTTGTCCAATTTGGTCAGATACACGACCTGTGGAATGCCTGGCCAATAAAAAAAAGGTTGTATTAGAGCTACTTGCAAATAATGGAACTAGTGTCTTAATATAAATCTTACCCTTTAATATTCTCATCGTTTATTCCATCATCTCTTTTATTCTTTCAACTCAATGCCATATCCCATATGCATTCTCAATAATGAAAAGGCGTGGAAAGCAAATATTTTAAATATTCAAATTAACTTAGTGATATAGAGCATCTCATTATTTACCCCTTTCTACCATCAGAGATTGAAATTCCAACAATTTTCGAGGGACGCTTCCTTGCAGAACATCAACAGAACTTCCGTCTATAATGAAAGCCGCGCAGTGAATTTTGTCCTTAAATGAAGGTCTGGAATTAAACCCTGGATCCCTTTGGCAGGCATTTGCCATAGGATTAAACTGCAAAAATTGACTATCAAACATTAATTTGCACTTCCTTAATTTGTTTTCATATGTACAAACTGAATACAGATTGTTTGGCGAAGTACAATTACAAAGTAGCTGCTGATAGAATGCCGACCTTGTACTGATCAGAAAGATACCCGTCTAGTAAAAGTCCCATGTCTTGGGTTTTGATGGACATTTCTTCTTCTATTCCACGGGTGTCACAAAGCCGGAAATTAAGATAGCCACCCGTCTCTTGGTTCCTGATTCTGTATTTACGTAGCTTTAAAGGGTATAGGCATTTATTTTACATGACCTTTTTAAATGATTATCAAATTTAAAACTTCCAATCTTAAGAGATGTGTGTATTTTTTTTTTTTTTTTTTTTTTTTTTTTTTGACGATAGATGGGCGTTAGGAGTGCATAATTATCAATAATTACTTTTTTATATTTAAACTATTTCCAGATGTAGTTATTAAATTAATTTCATTCTGACTTACATTCGTAGTCACACTGTGTGGAGAATTTCCAGCACAAGCACGTGCAGTAATTTCACCACGAAAAATGGAGTTGACTGTATTGAAGAAACTTGATTTCCCAGAGCCTATCTGTCCTACTAGTAAAATATTAACATCCGGAATGTTCATGTCTTTCAGTGGTTTGTAATTGGAGACAAAGTGCTTCAAAGTTTGGAAATTCTGAAGAAAAGAAACCATCATTGTAAGTGTACGAAATTGCAATAAACATAATTTACCATCAATCCATCATTGTCACGTATTTTAAATTCAATGTTTTTGCCTTTCAAAAAATGTACATTTCATAGAGAGAAAAAGAAAATTAAATCTCAACTTTTTCATCCCAGAGTGGTGGTTCCCTCCATGTCTTTGTCGGCAATTGTGGCTGTGGAGGAACAACGGCGGGTCTCCTAGCTTAATGAAAATGAAATAAATTCTACATTGACTGACTTAGCTCACACACTTAAATAACTTAAAATGAATAGGATTCGTTTATTGGTTTGAATTGGTTTTGTTAAAAACACTAACAAAAAAGGGGCCAAAGAAAAACTTGTTTTAAAAAATCCCTACCTTGCACTGAATAAACTTCTAAATCAAATACACACATGTGACCATTATTTATAGCATGCATATTCTCAGATGGTCTTTGGAATGCTGATCCAAATTCAGCCCGACCATTGAGCGTGAAGAATCGCGTCTGACTCCCACGTTCAATAGACATATTGACGTCATCATGAAATGTCATCATATCAGATGCCCTACTCCTGCTGATTGTGGTTGAAAATCCAGCTCGGTTTACTCCTTTCATTGCATATATTTGATTGTTTGGATTTATCACAGACATGTCCGCTTCACCAAAAGTTGGTCCTAACTTTTGATGTGCATAGGCAGCTTTATTTGTATTGGTAACGGCAAATTTCCTCGGTCTTTTGACACCGTTAAAGTATAATGTAAACAGAAACGCATGCTCATCTTTGATGTAACCACCAGAGGAGTTCCAATGTTTCAGGAGGAAGCCTCCATATGCACTGTTGTCAGTGTTATATAGAACTGTCACTGTTGGACCTTTATCATCACAGAGTTGATGAAATTTAGATGCTGAACACCCGTCACGACTGATTTTGTAAAGCAGCTCAAAATGGCACGCCTTACCAATCCACTGCGACAGCTGGTCCCTATCATCCGCCGTTAGTAGTTCTGTTGATCTAATAATGATATATATATTTTTTCAAATACCGTACTGCATAACGCACAATGAATTAATCATTGAATTAATCCCTTCTAATTACATACTTTGTAATAAATACAGTTTTTTTGTTTTTTTGTTTTTTTCGCATAAGCGATATGCCTGACGTCACAGGGCTGATACGGATCCTGCAGGACTGATACGGAATTATATCACACCCCTATATTAAATTAGATTTAACCTTAAAAGACAGTACTTTTGATAATACATCTGTTTTTCTTTCACATTCTCTTAATTTTCTCTTATCTTACTGTTCTTTGATATAATGAGCTATACATGTCAGTAATCGGAGCATGATTATTTTTTTGGTATTTTCTGAAGTTGATGTGTGCTGTCTTTTATTACTAAGTTTGTAATAAACATACTTTTTCCACATCACATCGGCCCTCTGGCTGCCATTTGTGTCCCGGGCTGATTCAGGATAAGATATGTAAAAAGGTACATATTATTTTCTATTTATAGGCTTAAAGACAAGAGGAAACATACCTACATCGATATCGTGCTCGTATTTCACAGGCAAAGTATTCATTGCCTTGGAGTTTCATAAAGACAGCCAGCTGATATCTAATGAACTACTTTGTAAAGCACATACATTTACCGTTGCATTGTTGATCCCATATTTCAATTTGATATTTCACTTTTCCACCAAAAGGAAAGAGGTTAAAACATGGAAATATACATATCATGTATATGAACGAACATTTGTTTTCATGGGGGAATGAACTAGATCTACATTATAAAAATCCTCATTGAAAGTTGGCCTCTAGTTATCACTGCTCCAATATTCTTTGTTACATCAATATCAGACATTTATACTTTGGAAAAATAGTAACATATAAATAAAAAGGGAAAGAATGTAAAAATGATTATTTGATTTAATTTGATTAACTCTCATTTTGTGTGCAAATTCTCAAACGCTTTCATCATATACGTAATTATTAATATACTTAATTTAATATAAGGAATATGTAAATCTAAATTTTTATAATTTTCTTACCTGTCCATCTTGTATGTTGTTTTGGTATTTCTTTTCTGGAACGGCCTAATTGTTTTAAAGCCACCTTATCATATGATATTTTCAGAAAATCAATGTTTACATGACTTTTTAAAAATCGTTTGATTTGATCGCGCTGTTGACAAAAGATTTAAATGGCATCTGATATGGCATCTCATATATGCCAGTAAACACTAACCTATTTTAGGGCAATAATATATATATATATATATATATATATATATATATATATATATATATATATATATATATATATATATATATATATATATATATATATATATATATATATATATATATATATATATAAAATATATAATATACAGTTATGGAATGGGTATGAGGGAAATAGCAAATTTATGGTTCCCCGAGGGAAATAGTTTCCTGCCGAGGGGAACCATAAATTTGATATTTCCCGAGTACCCATTCCATAACTGTTTTATTATACCGAAACAAACAAAGGAGATTTATTAACGTAGATATTTAGACATTTTTATAACAATATACCGGCATTTATATAAATAATCAAAAATGCATGTGATTCCAATTTTGTTAAATATATAATGCATCAATACGGAAAAAAATAAAATTATTTTAAAAAAAATAATTTCACTAACATTTCGAAGGATTACCGTTGTCCTCTGTTTGCTTAGAAATTCAAGTATGATTTTGACATCGCATGTTGAAATGTTTTGACGTCATAGTTACATTGCTTATAACATTACGTCACGGACTCGAGATTCCTTGAACGCTCCGCCCACTGTTCATTTTAATTGGTTAGAATTAATAATAAATATTCATGAGGGAGTAGTCCCAGGGAGTAGCTCTGATTTTTCAGGGAGTAGTCCTCAGATGGGGGGAATAGTATATTCTCGGGAAAATATACAGTTTTATGGTATTGATTTTATATAGAGTAATAAGAGTAGAGGTATAATAAATATATATATATATATATATATATATATATATATATATATATATATATATATATATATATATATATATATATATATAAAACGGGAACCAGTTATTGTACCTTTACATAGTTAGTGGGCTTGGTCTGTTCCTTTAGTATTACTTAGTAGAGTTTAAAGATAATTTTGCATACTTTGGGGCAGATTGAGTACACTTTGCGGCCATAGCCAAACTGGTTCCCGTTACATTTTTGGTGCCGTGACCAGGATTCCTAGATAAAAACCATGACTTCACCTTTATTTAGCTTCCATACATCAACCCCTAAAGAAAGTGGTGCTAGACCTAAGGTCTTGAGTCAGGGTGCTAGAAATAAAGATCTAGATGATAGCTTTGATAATGATTTTGTAGCCCTTGAGAAAGAGCATGAAAGTATGTGTCTGGAAGATGCAGAGAAAGAGTTTGAAGAGCTCAAAGCTCGTTTCAATAGGTGTAAGCAAGATCTGGAAGAGAGTAGAGCCTCGGGTGAGAGTGAAAAAGTAGAATCTACTGATAAAAAGCAAGATAAGAAGGTCTCTTTTGAATTACCTACACAGGATGCTCACTTTTTAGAGAGTAGGGAGATGCAGTTAGAAAGGGATGCTTTGCTAAAGAGAATACAGGAGTTAGAACAAGTAGAACTAGAATTATCTGCACAGTTAAACTGTCACAATAGAATGCACTTTGTTCCACCACAGACAGATAGGTTTGCATTTGTACCAGAGACACCACATGCAAATAGAGCTACATCTACACTGGGTACACCACATGTAGACAGGGTTAACTTTGTACCAGAAACACCACATGCCTACAGAGCTACATCTACACAGAGTACACCACAGACAGGCCTACACCTAGACACAATTTTTCACGATCTGATAGGTTTACACCTGTAGATAGATCTTTTGTCAGTAGTTCATTTCAAGGTCACCCTATTAGGAAAGAGAAAGAACCTGATAAGTTTGATGGGAGAACAGTTGAATGGAAAGATTTTATAGTACACTTTGAACAGGTTTCAGATTGGAATAAGTGGACTTATCATGAGAAGTCTCAACAGTTGGTTATGTGCTTTAGGGGTGAAGCTCAGAAACTATTGGGCGACCTCACAGTTGAATTAAGATCAGATTATAATAAGCTTAGGTCTATCTTGACAAAGCGGTTCAATCCACAAGAATTGGTCATAGCTCATAGGTGTGAATTCAGATCACGTAGACGAAAACAAGGTGAAAGTCCTTCAGATTATGGGTATGCTCTCAGAAGGTTAGGTTGTCTAGCATTTCCTGATATGACTTATGATGACAGGGAAATTAACATTCTAGAACAGTTCATCAATGGCATAGGCAATTCGGCAATTCATGATCATGTTATTTTTCACCATCCTAAAACCTTAGAGGCTGCCATTTCATTAGCTATTGAATTTGAGTCTGTTAAGGGTCCACAATTGTCTATTGTCAAACCAGTTCATTTTGGTGACATTGTGAATACAGTTCAGTCAAAGGGTGAAAGTGAATCTAAGAAACAAGAAACCCTTAAAGAAATGTCAGAGTTAATGAAGTTAATGCAGGCTTGTGTAGATAAACTTTCAAAACTCAGACCACCAAGAGGGGGTAAGAGACACTCAGGGAACATGACATATACAGAATGTTACAATTGTCATAATTTTGGGCACCTAGCCAGACACTGTCCAAACAAGAACAGTTCCACACCCACACAGAGAAACACTCAACAAACAGACAAACCTACAAAACAGGAAAACTAGTTGGGGTTGCTCTTGACGCCCATAGTGCAGCCCAGAGTTGTAATGAAAATAAGGGCAAAAGTATCAAAATCAATGTTTTAAGAAGGTCTTGTCTTATTGCACATTGTCTGTTAGGGAATGATGTACATAAGTTTTTAGTTGACACTGGCTCAATGGCAAGTATTTTATCAAAGGATGTATATTTACAGTTGGATAATAGACCTAGGTTAGAAACAACTGATGTTATTCTCACTGCAGCAGATGGAAGTAACTTGAGAATTCTAGGGAAAGTTGACCTTCAGTTTAGTCTTGGTGAAATAAGTTTTTGTCATGAATTCATTGTTGCTGAGATAGATGACCTTCAGGGTATCTTTGGAATGGATTTTCTAGAGCAAAATGATGCGTCAATTCAGATTGGCAAAGGCTTATTAAAAATAGCCGGTCAACAAATTTAGTTAGACAGAGAACAAATTTCAGTTTGCACTAGAGTCAAGTTATCTAAAAAGATAGTTGTACCTCCTGATAGTGAAATTGTTGTTTCAGGTTATGCTCTTGGTTTGAAGGACAAATCTGTACATAATTTAGTTGAGCCTTTTACATTTTTACAGCAAAAAGGTCTATTGGTTGCTAGGACTTTGGTAAATCCAGAAAACATTTTATTTTCAGTTGTAAATATTATATATAGGCCTGTTAGAATTGACAAGAATGCCACAGTTGCTTCATTACAGCCTGTAGATATTGTTGAGTCAAGTACTGAGTCAGTTGATGTGTCATCTGAGTTGCCAGAACATTTACAAGTTTTGTTTGAGAAATCATCTGTTGGTTTGACTGAAGAACAAAAATCAAAATTGTTCGAGTTGTTAGTTTCTTACAAAGACATATTTGTGGGACCTGATGGGAAATTTGGTAGGACAAAGTTAGTCAAACACAGTATTGATACTGGGGATAGCAAACCAATTAAAATTCCCCCTCGTAGGTTGCCATATGCACAAAAAGAAATTGTAGAAAAAGAAATCCAGAAAATGCTTGATAATAATATCATTGAACCAAGTGAAAGTTCCTGGTCTGCTCCTTTGTTATTGGTTGAAAAGAAAGATAAAACCTGGAGGTTTTGTGTAGATTAAGGCTACCAGAAAGGATGCATATCCTTTACCCCGAATTGACGAATCCCTTGATTCTTTAGCAGGTGCTTCATGGTTTAGTACCCTTGATCTTGTGTCAGGATATTGGCAGTGTGAAATGGAAGAAAAAGACTAGCCCAAAACTGCATTTTCTACACATATAGGTCTTTTTCAATTTCAAGTGTTACCCTTTGGAATATCAAATGCCCCAAGTTGTTACGAAAGACTTATGGAATTGGTTTTAAGAGGTCTTAGATGGGAAAAATGTCTTTGCTACCTGGACGACATTATTGTATTTGGTTCTAGTTTTGAACAAGCTGTTCAGAATCTGAAGTTGGTTTTTGATAGGCTCAGATCTGCCAATTTGACTTTAAAACCTTCGAAATGTGTGTTATGTCAGCAGAAAGTCAATTTTTTAGGTCATGTTGTGTCTAGCAAAGGGATACAATGTGATCCCGGCAAGATTGAAAATATTCAGACTTGGCCTGTACCTAGCAATGCTACTGAAGTTCGTAGTTTCTTGGGTCTTGCAGGTTATCATAGGAGGTTCATACCCAATTTTTCCACAATTGCAAGTCCCCTTACATATCTCACTAGAAAAAGGGCAAAATTTTGTTGGACCCCTGAACATCAAACTGCATTTAACAAACTTAAGGAATTACTAACTACAGATCCCATTTTGGCTTATCCAGATAACAATTCAGAATTCATTCTTGATACTAATGCCATTATGACTGGACTTGGCGCTGTATTGTCACAGGTTCAAAATGGTGAGGAAAAAGTGGTCGCATATGCTAGTCGCACATTGAACAAACACCAAGCCAAATACTGCACAACATACAAAGAATTGTTAGCTGTCATTACTTTCATAAGACAATTCAGACACTTCCTCTGGGGTAGACACTTCACTGTCAGAACAGATCATGCTTCATTAATCTGGTTAAAGAATTTCAAGAACCCAGAAGGGATGTTAGCCAGATGGCTCTCTATCCTGGAAACATATGACTTTAGCATCATACATAGACCTGGGAGGTTACACAACAATGCAGACAGTTTATCTCGTAGGCCAGCAAACTACTGTAAGCGTCTAGATTGTCCAGATTGCCATTCTGAGAATCACAGTTGTCTTAAGTCTCCAAAGGAGTTGCCTAGAACAAAAGATTTCTCAAAATCTGTCATAAGTAGAGTAGCTCCTTTAAGGACTATAGATAATGAGTCCGAATTAGGAGACCAATCCAGTACATCAACAGATTCTCTTAGTGGTAATCTTGAGGCAAACTGGTTACAAACTTGGTCACATGAAGAGTTATCTAACTTGCAACAGAATGAACATGCATTAAAACAAATTATTAGTCTGAAAGAAAAGTTCATTACAAAACCACCCCGTCATGTTGTATTAGATGCATCTCCAGAATTAAAAACACTTTGGGGATTATGGGAGTCATTAATAGTTGTTGACAATATCCTCTATTATAGATGAAAAAATTCAGATGATAGTGAAAAATTATTGTTAGTTGCTCCTAAGGAAATCAGATCTACAAAATTTTGCCAACTACATGAATCTAGAACTGCAGGACATTTAGGCAGAGAACGCACCATTAAGTCCATCAAACTTAGGGTTTATTGGCCAGGCATGTCTTCTGACATTAAACGTTGGTGTAAACAGTGTGATATGTGTGCAAGAGCTAAAAGTGGTCCAGGATTAGGTAGATCAGCACTTTGTCAGTCAGTTACTGGTGCACCTTTAGATAGGGTTGGTATAGACATTGTAGGGCCTCTTCCTATTACAGGTGATGGAAATGAATATCTTGTAGTTCTTTGCGATTATTTCACAAAATGGGTTGAAGCTTATGCAGTTCCCAATCATACTGCATTGACTGTAGGTGATAAAGTTGTCAATGAGTTTATTTGTAGATTTGGTGTTCCCAAGCAGATCCATTCTGATCAGGGTCGTGAGTTTGAGTCAGAATTATTCTCAGTTTTATGTGAAAAACTTGGTATAGAGAAAACAAGGACTACACCTTATAGGCCACAGTCCGATGGGTTAGTAGAAAGATATAATAGGACGCTGCAACAAATGTTAGCCAGTTATGCAAATAAGAATAGGAACAATTGGGATGAGAATTTGCCTTTTCTTCTTATGGCGTATAGGTCTACAGTTCAAGAGAGTACTGGTTGTTCACCTAACTTGCTCATGTTTGGTCATGAAATTTCTAGTCCTATTGATCTTATATTAGGTAACCCCCAAGATACCCCAAATCCCACTTGCCCAGTTGAATATGTGGAATGGTTGAGAAATGTTCTTTCTGAAACTCATGATTTTGTTAATGAAAATCTGAAGCGAGCCGCTGTAAAACAAAAGAAGTATTATGATCGAGGGCTTAAACCTAGACATTTTTCACAGGGTGATTATGTGTGGAGATGGTATCCTCCTACAGCAGGAGCTAAGTTAGCTTTAGGTTGGATAGGACCCTACAAAGTAATTAACAAACTTACAGAAGTGACCTACAAAATACAGAAAACACCTGAAATTTCTTGTATTATAGTCTATGTAGACCATCTAAAACCTTATGAAGGTATTTCTCCCCCACCTAGTTGGATACCAGTAGTTACTCCCCTTGAAGAATCAATTTCTCAAGAAATTACCCCTGACCCTGTAGATAATGAACTCTTGAGTGAAGAGGAGTCATTTTTAGCTGATTTTATTCCAGAACCCAGTCCTGAATATAAAAGGTCAAGAATTGGCCGTCAAATTAAACCAAGGGATATCTATTCTCCTTGAACCAATAAACCCCTTGTATATAGATATTTTTAAAATGACATAATGTCATTTTTGTATTGATAACACTTAATGAATATGTTTCCATTTTTTTTTTATTTTTAAATCTAAAACAACAGTATAAAAGTTTAAGTGTTTTCTAAGTCTCCATTCTGAAATTCTTCATATTATTGCTGTTTTGACTTTATTAGATACAGTCAATGAGAGATGTTTTATTTTGGAAATGAAACGCCGTACGTAGTTGATTCATTTTATTAGTTATCTAGAAGTCAGACGGTTCTTAACAGTTATTTTTCACATCATTTTAGACTTATCCAATATCAGTAAAATAGATAATGATTCATTGAGAGAAATTGTGATTATTTTATTACAATTCCGTAGATGAACATGTTTGAGTTATCTCCCTTTATTGTGTTGGAATTCAAAACCATTAAGTCAGACTTGTAATTGCCAGGAGTAATAGTAGTAGAGGCCTCTACATACAAACAAGTGCGTGTTTGAGAAGTGCATTGAGATTGCACGATAGTAATTATTGATATGTCTGACTTATTCCATATAACAGACTTTAGATATTACAATCTTTCATTAAGATGTAATTTTCAAAATTTGATTTCAGATTATGGAGTCACTGAGAAACTTAGAATATGAATTAACTTAGATAAAAATTAATATATAGTGATTTTATAATAACTTTAATGATATACTTAATATTTTAGTTATGGAAGATATTTTGGATATACATCCGAATGATGATGAAGTTATGGCATTTGAAGAAGAGGAGATGGGCGAGGAGTGGCCGGAGGGGGGCATGATGTGTCCAGTTGCTGGCTGCCCCTCAGGGAGCCATTTCTTCAGGAGATTGGGCTCCTATTGGTGCCATTTCCACCGCTTTCATAGGCGATATGTTACGCTCTATTATTGCCCTATGTGCCGCCTTAAGGACATTAAGATGTCCGAGGTTCGAAGGCACCTGCGGAAAGTGCATAACTCTACCTCACAAGATATAAGAAGAGAGACTGTCCTTAATGACAAGTTTATCAATCCAGGGGATTTCAGGAGACCGCGTCCGAGGGTGCGACACGAGGAACGGGAGAGGGCAAAGGAGGAGAGACGGAGGACCA